AGAATAATGATGACGAGGAGGATGACCAATTGTAATAATGATGGTGGTGATAATGGTAATAATAAAGGCAATAATAATGAATCATAATAATAGTGACTCATAATAACAATCAGAGCAAACCAAACTTAATAATACGCCCTCCTCGCACTAACCAGCAGCCCAGACCCCGCCCACGATGTCTCAAGCAATCCCAGGAGGCCCCACCCCCCTGCAGGTCACGCCGAAGGACCCGGAGACCTCAAAGGACCCCGAGACCCGCCGTCTGGAGGAGGACAGGGCGCGCACGGCCAACTGGAAGCGCTGGGGGCCTTACCTCAGCGAGCGCCAGTGGGGGACAGTGCGAGAGGACTACTCCGAGGACGGCAACTGGTGAGGGATCTGGGGTGCTGTCCAGGGCGCGGGTCGAGTGGGGGGGGGGGGGTCGGTTGGGTGGGAGGGGGCAGGTAGGAGTTGATCTTTGTTTGTTGGTGGTGTTGCTGTTTCTGCTTTTTCTCTCTGTCTCTTCTCTCTCTCTCTCTCTGTCTCTCTGTCTCTCTCTCTTCTCTCTCTTCTCTTCTCTCTCTCTCTCTCTCTCTCTCTCTCTCTCTCTCTCTCTCTCTCTCTCTCTCTCTCTCTCTCTCTCTCTCTCTCTCTCTCTCTCTCTCTCTGTGTATTTCTATGTGTGTGTGAACTTTGTTATCTATTTATCTACCTATTATGTATGGATGTGCATTAGCTGCATGATAATGTGTATAGCGCTGCTTATATGGTATTATTATTTTCTTTTTTTTTTCGTTTTCCTCTCTTAATACAGATGATTGTTTCAAACAATATAACTGAACATATGAAGGGGGCGTTGTGGCAATATTTAGTGGTGTGAGATGCATGAGAACCATTGAAATGTTCCCATTGCAATGAATGTGTTTCTATGAAGTCTACGTATTAATATTTCCATTGCTATTTTACGTAAAATTGTGACATATGATTAACAGAAAAAAAGAAATAAGCTTACCAATTATAACGAAAAACAAAACCCTAAGTTCTATTCGCGTTGCATCAAAACTAGCCTCAAACAGGCGGATGGCTTTAGCACCTGTTGCAATCCAGCTTCATTTGGCACCTGTTGTATTTTTGTTAATTGAAGGCACCACACCCTTAGTGGTTGGTATAACTAATAGTTATTTTTATTGCTATTCGTAGAAATACAGTTTCATCGTATATATGACATAATTTTTACATAAGACTTGAACATTTTCGCCGATATATATATATATATATATATTATATATATATATATATTATATATATATATATATATATATATATATATATATACATTTTGAGTAAAAAAAAAATAGAAAACACAAAAAAACGGATAGAAATAAAGAAAGAGAATTAGCAACGAGTTTGAATACCGGTTCTCTGTGCTACGTACTGTTGAGAGTGAGCACCGTGCACCGCAGTGTGGAGTTACACTGTTAATTTTAGGTGAACTACTGGTTTCCCAGAAATGGCTACAAAAGAGAAAAGAAAAGATAATAGTTTATGTTAAAAAATGTTTTTGCCTTTCCACACCAATGAACACGCTTGAGCCTAAGTTCATAGATACTCTCTCTCTCTCTCTTCTCTCTCTCTCCTCTCTCCCGCTCTCTTCTCTCTCTTCTCTCTCTCTCTCTCTCTCTCTCTCTCTCTCTCTCTCTCCTCTCTCTCTCTCTCTCTCTCTCTCTCTCTCTCTCTCTCTCTCTCTCTCTCTCTCTCTTTCTCTCTCTCTCTCTCTCATCCCTCTCTCTCCCCTGTCCCTCTCTCCTCTATGTAAGATCGTTTGACATTTGTGTAGGAAATTTAGTGGCGAGTTCTCACGTAGAACTTAGGCATTCAGACTCGTGCAACTACACAGAATGAGGATGAAGCATGTTTTCCCATTCGACACTGTCTACTTACGGTAAAGCTGTGGTTGCGCCTTTTCCCGTTTGGTTGGTTTTGTTTCTTGTGTAGTTTTTTTTTTTTTTCGTTCTCTCGTTTTTTTTTCTTCTTCTCTTTCCTGATTCCTCTCCTCCTCCCTTCTCTTCTTCTTTTATCTTCATCTTCATTCACTTTCTTTCTTCTTCTCCCATCTTTCCTCCTCCTCTTCTTCTTCTTCTTCTTCATCTTCATCTTCACCTTCATCGTCATCTTCATCCTCATCACATTCTTCTTCATCCTCCTCCTTCTCCTTTCCTCTCATCTTCATCATCATCACTTTCTTCTTCTTCTTTCATCATCCTCCTCCTCCTTTTCTTCCTCTCCTTCTTCTCCCCCCCTACTAGGACCTATTTCTTATTTTTACAGTCTTTAGCTTTTCATATGTTTATGCCGGTTCTTCACTAATGACTGCTCTAGTGTAAGATGAAAACAAAAATATAAATAATCATAACCACAAATCAAGTTTTAGGTAATAATCGTAAGCTTTAGGTAATAGTAATTAGCTTTAGGTAATAATAATAAACTTTTGGTAATAATAAACTTTAGGTAATAATCATAAGCTTTAGGTAATAATGATAATCTTTAGGTAACAATAACAATAAGCTTTAGGTAATAATAATAAGCATAACCATAAAAAATAATCATAATTATAATCACAATAACCACAATCACAATCACAAACCCACACATAAATGCTAGAAATCCTGACCTGACCTGACCTCCAGCTGGGACTACTTCCCCCATGACCACGCTCGCTCACGGGCGTACCGCTGGGGCGAGGACGGCATCGCGGGCGTGTGCGACCGGCGTGGGCGTCTCTGCTACAGCGTCGCGCTCTGGAAGGCCGGATCCCATTCTCAAAGAACGGCTCTTCGCTTGACGGACCCAGGTGAGGAGGGGGGGGGGGTGATGGTGAGGCTGGTGAGGGTGTTGGTGATGATAATGATGGTGACGAGGGTGATAAAGATGACTGTGATGGTGATGATAAATGATAATACTACTACTAATAATGATAATGATAATAATAATAATATTAATCCCCTTCCTCTTACAGGGAAACTAATAATATGATAATAATAATAATAAATCTTCCCCCTTCCTCCTGCAGGGAAACCACGGCGAGGATGTGAAGGAACTCTACTACTACCTGGACTCGACCCCGACGCACTCCTACATGAAGTTCCTGTACAAGTATCCCCAGCAGCAGTATCCTTACCAGCAGCTCGAGGAGGGCAACCGGGAGAGGGGCGTGCTCGATCCTGAGTTTGAGTTGGAGGATACGGGTGAGGAAGGGGATGGGAAGGGGATGGGAAGGGATGGGAAGGATGGGAAGGAAGGGGATTGGAAAGGGATGGGAAGGAAGGAGGAAGTTTGAAGGAGATGTGAAGGAAGGAGGAAGTATTGGTACTTACGTGCGTGGATATATGTAGGGGCGTGACGAACACTCACATGTGCACGCTCGTTTGCAGGCATAGATACACACACATTCGCATACGTAAACACACATACATACATACATATATATACACGCATACACATACAAGCACGCACGCACCACGCGCACACACACACGCACACACACACACACACACACACACACACACACACACACACACACACACACACACACACAACACACCACACACACACACAAAAAAAATCGAGAAATACAAGACCATACCATACTCAAAAGCCGCAATTGGAATATCCTTCCAGGCGTGTTGAGTGCAGGATACTGGGACGTGCAAGTCGACTACGCGAAGGACTCGCCCAACAGCTTATTGGCGGAAGTGAAGATAACGAACCAAGGACCTCAAGCTGATACGTTGCATGTTCTCCCTACTCTCTGGTAAGGCTTTTGCGCGGTTCTTTTGAAATGCGTCGCGGTTCGTGTAAGCAGGCTGTTGATCTGCATTTTAGTGGAGATATTTAAAAATGTTTATTAGATATAGTATGGAGATATTTACAAATGTTTATTAGATATACGTATGGAGATATTTACAAAATGTTTATTAGATATACGTAGTGACCAGTTGCTGGATTTATTGAGAATCAAAGTTTCTGTTTTACGTCCACGGCCGCAGGTCTCGAAAAAAGCCCGCCAAAAAAAAAAAAATCATTATTTACAATAAATTTCATTGCTCCCCGAAAATATAATTTGATTACTCTGGAAATCTGTTCTCTTGTCATTTTTAAAAGAGTATTTTCACCAGTAAATATGAATGAAAAGTGTCATGATTACCCATAGGAACTAAGAAGATGATTTGATGACATTGAAAAGCTGTTATTCTCATCTTTAAATGTTTGTAGAAATAGATAATAATAATTAGGTATTGCCCCGTCAGTTTTTTTTTTTTTTTTTCGTACGCAAAACAAGAACTTTCATTCTCATGGGCTGAACGGTCAGTTATTTAATCCTTAATAAATATTTAGCAAAGTATAGCCTGCAATATATGTACGTTTTCTACAGTATATATATTAGAGAAAATGGTATTAATTTTAAAACATCCTTTTAAATCAAGGCGACGTCTTGTAGTTCTGTTAATTTTGTTATAGTTATAATCATAGAAATAATAATTATATTCGTAATATTATTACTATTATTACTTTTATCACTATTATCATTATTATCTTATATCTTATCTGTATTATCAATGTTATTATCATCATCATTAATATCATTGTCACTCTCATTATCATTCTTATTATTATAATGATCATAAAATTAACAGAACTTCAAAAAGTCGCCTTAATTTATAAGGTTATGCTCTAAAATTAATGTTACCGTTTTTTCTAATACGTACGGTAGAAAACGTATATATATTGCAGGATATACTTTGATAAATATTTATTAATGAGAGAGAGAGAGAGAGAGAGAGAGAGAGAGAGAGAGAGAGAGAGAGAGAGAGAGAGAGAGAGAGAGAGAGAGAGAGAGAGAGAGAGAGAGAGAGAGAGAGAAGAGAGAGAGAGAGAGAAAGAGAGACGAGAGAAAGAGAGAGATAGAGAAAGAGATATGAGAGAGAGAAGAGAAATAAAGAGAGATAGAGAGAGAAAGGGAG